AAAGATGTGCGGCCGGCACATGTAGAATCAAGCCATTCAAACTTTTGTGTTGTCATGCAAGACGCTGTTGTGTGTGGCGATGGAAATCAAAGATCAAACAAGTGCCTTATAGTTGATTGTGTTGGAAGAAGCAAGGTTCGGTAATCCAAAATATATTCGATAGGATCCATGAAGACGGCCAAAGTTGAAATGTTTGTTCAGGTCGTGCTGTTTGGCCGCGGCCAGGGCACAGAATGCAAAACCGACTGACTTGCCAGATTTTGGTGTTGTTGCGCACGCGCAAGCATGCGCACCGAAAGAGCTTTGTGCTGCATGGCAGCTAGCCAGAGCACGTGCATAGCAAGCAGTGCGATTGGTGATTAGAATGTAGTTCGTTTCCCGGGGCCATGCAAAAGCGAGAATGGAGCATATTCAGCGGATGCATTTTTTTTTAAAGTTTGTTTTTGGTGGGGGGGGAAGGGGTGGTGAGATTTGTTTCCTCATGCGTTTCTCTTTGTTGCTTTTTGCTTTCTGCTTCCTGTTTTCTGCAGTTCGCTGCTGGCTTCTTTTTGCCACCTGCTTTTGGCTTTGTCTTTCCTTTCTCTCTTTCTCTGTCAGCTTTTTGCTCGCTATTTGTTGCTTCCCGCGATCTCCTGAGTACTCTTTGCTCGCTGTTCTAGCTTCCTGGCTCTCGTTGACTGTGCTCAGCTTCCCGATTGCTACTATCTGCGATTGTTTTTGTTGCTTCTTGCTTCTTTTTCCTGGCAGTACTTTTCTGCTTAGTAGTACTTGCCGTCTTTCATCATGTGTCAAAATTCTGCATCATATTCTGAATTTATCTTATCTTCCATTTCTTTCAATTTCTTTCAGCAGTGACAATATCTTTTATCATTTTCAATAATTCTTGGCAATTTTCCTGACTTTTCATCAGTTGCATATTATTTAATAATTCGCCATCCTTCCGCATTATTGTCCATGTTCTTCATGGGTTTTCATGCTTTCTCGATAGTTTCCATCATCTTTCGTCGCCTTTATCCTTGTTGTTCGCAAGCCTTTGTTGAGGCCATCAATGCTGTAACTAAAAAGCATCATGTCATCACAATGTTTGCAATGAGGCATGCTTCTGCGGATCAACTTTTTTTTTGGCATGGGCGGGAGCTGTCCCCCGCCCCTCACCCCTTGTTGTTTTAACGCCATCCACACTTGCCGTGTCCGAGAAGCGTCGTGTTATTACCAGAAATGCCAACGAAAGAGCATTCTGCTGCATGGCAAATTGCAGAGCACGCGCAAAGCAAGCAGTGCCATTAGTGATCATTGCCATCTGCGGTTTGAGCGGGTTTGCCTTATGCGTTGATAAACGCTTCTGGCGGAGTGGAGCTCTTCCAAGATGTGGTGAACCAGATTAATGCTCGCCCTGAACATCAGCCTGCAGCGCCTTTTGAAGGGATCGTCGTCCTGCTCGAGAACGTGAGGCTGGTGTCTTCGCTAAAGGACCTGTCTCCTATTGGTTTGGTCGAATCAGTGCGCAAACCGAGCGCAGCACTTGCAGCGGCTCGCACTGCCGATATCTGGCCTCTGCCTCATGAGCAACTAGGTGGGTTGCCAGGGATTCAGGTTGCTGAGGTGGATTGAGGTGGTGTGGTTGGCAAACAGCATGATGGCTAGGAGTGCCATGTACGATGATCGCCACGTGTTTCTCAAATTGACATCTCGGCAGCAATTGATAGCCTTGACCATGGGGCAGTTCAGTGGCTCGTTGCCCGATTCAACAATCCTGAGATTGCTACCGGCATGCGCTTCCTCAATAGTCTTCTTACCAACCAAACCTTGCATTTCAGTTTGTCGGGCGAAAATTGGTCACAGAAGATAATTCGTGGCACAGCCACAGCCGAAGGTGGAACGCACTTCGCAAAGCTGTGCCCGAATTTTGTGTTTGGTGTTCGCTGACTGGGGTGAAGGTTGGATGCTTCGGGGAGAAGTGTCGCCCTTCACAGCTTTGTCCTTGGCCCTTTGGGCATTCTTTTTTGTGGATGATGGACTGCTGCCTTTCACGGGGATGGCCCAAATATGAAAGCTCCTGCCAGATATCATTCAAGCACTGCATCACCTTGGCCTTGGCATGAATCTCGGCTATTGGGCCGGCACGGGCGACGGCCGTTGCCAGCCTGCTTTGCCTGGCGTGCAGGTGGTTGTCAAGTCACATTCTTGGGCTGTAGTGTTGTCCATAACAGCATCAGATGAGGAGGTGGCCCAGTTGTTAGGGCGTTTTTTGCGTCTAGCCAACTATGTGTGGATCGTAGGGTCAACATTTTCCAAAGGGTTTTCTTGATCAACATGTCGGTGGTTGCTTGAATTCGATGAATGATTTGGCGGGTGGGTGCCCTCTTCTGCAGTGTTGCGGCTACGCTGAGTCCAGCATTGCACGCTGCTGGTTTGGCTACGGGTTTTTTCGACAGCATCAGTCATGGGCCGATCTTTCCCAGTTTGCCTCGACGCGTCATGCGGCGAAGTTACGGGGACGACGCTGTAGTGGGTATCTTCGGGATGGTCTATGTGATGTGCAGTGTTGGGGTTTGGTTGGGCATATGGTTCGCTCTTCTGCCTCAAGGTTGCCGTGTGCCGCTTTGACTTCGGAGTTCCACATGGGAGCTTTGCATCAGGGCATGCGGCGGTACAGACGCGGTCCCGATAACGCCAATGCAGCTCGAGTGTCTCAACTCTTGCACTTACTACACAGGAGATGGGAGTCTGCCGAAAGCCGAGTTTCGTGGCCATCCTTGGAGTCTCAATGGGTGCACTATTGCGGTGTGCTGACCCGTGATGTGGCGTGCAATGCGGAGCCTGTTCCGGTCGAGCACATGTCGTTCAGCTGTCGTTGTTTACAAATTAAAGTGTGCTTCAGGGATCCCACCCTTTTTGCCGCGCAGTTTCGGGACGTTTGCAGTTGAGTGAGTTGTGCATGCGTGAGGGGTGGGTTTCTTTTGAGCTCCATCTCGGAGAGCAAGTTTCAGTCGTTGGAGCTGCTAATTTTGGACGCTCCATGCCACTGTGATATGGTACATCTCATGTTAGGTTATATTTTTGCGAAATGTCTGCTGTTGCCATTCTTCCGCTTCCGTCCTCAGCTAGCATGCTCTGTGGTGTTCCCGTGCAGCGGATTTCCATGTGTCGTTTGAACCTTGATTTTGGACACCCTAGGTGATGCGGCGTTGTGCTGCTGTGAAGTGGCATCGTGCTGCTGAGTGGGTGTCCTGTGCATGTAGTTGCGCTAGTGGATGCCCGAACTCGAGAGCGCAGAGAGGGAGATTAGTGCTTAGAATGTGACTAGTGTCCCGGAGCTAATCACGAGCGACAAAGGAGCATGATCAAGATGTTCGGCCGGCACATGCAGAATCGAGGGATGAAAAGCGATTAATACGACATTTTTGTGTCGTCGCGCACATGCAAGCAAAGGCAACGAAGCAGCTTTGTGCTGCATGGCAGGTGGGAACGTGTAAAGCAAGCAGTGCGATTAGTGTCCTGGGACATTCAAAAGCGCTAAAGGAGCGCAATCAAGATGTTCGGAGAATCAAGCGATTCAAGCTTGTGTGTGTGGCGATGGAAACCAAAGATCAAACAAGTGCCTTATAGTTGATTGTGTTGGAAGAAGCAAGGTTCGGTAATCCAAAATATATTCGATAGGATCCAGGAAGACGGCCAAAGTTGAAATGTTTGTTCAGGTCGTGCTGTTTGGCCGCGGCCAGGGCACAGAATGCAAAACCGACTGACTTGCCAGATTTTGGTGTTGTTGCGCACGCGCAAGCATGCGCACCGAAAGAGCTTTGTGCTGCATGGCAGCTAGCCAGAGCACGTGCATAGCAAGCAGTGCGATTGGTGATTAGAATCGTTCTCGGCATCTTTGATGGCCACAGACGCTTTTTGCCGGGCTCAGGGCTTCTGGGAGCAGCAAGGACCTCAACTGCTTTCAGGGCGCTGGCAGCGTCGTGTAGAACGTTTTGTACAAGGGCTTGGTTTTGCGCAGGTCGTACCTGGACAGTGGCAGCGGCCATGCAGACTTGGGTGTGCTCATGCTTCAGGGGCCGCGTGCCCGACCGCAGCTGGGCAAGACGCTCCACCTCCTTCGTGAAGCTTGGCGACGACGACTCTTCCAGACCTTTCTCGACGCTGACAGGCGTGATTCTCGAGCCCTCCGGTGGCTGTCTACGACGAGGCCAGGGTGAAGGCCACGATGCAGCTTTATCACTCCTCGACTGCCGATGCGAGGGATGCACGGTGGTGCTTTGAGTGAGGCCGTCTACGGCGTCATGAAGTGCGGCGCTGCACCTTTGACTTGCTCGCGCTGTGGTCAACGGCAGGTGCCAACTTGGCACCATGTGCTCTGGGAGTGCAGCCACTTTGAGGCGATGCGGCCAGCCGTCCCTCAGGACCCGCTGGCACTACGGTTAGGATGGCTGCTGCCAGGAGAAGATGTTCATCAGGCACGCGCTTGGATTTCATGACCCTGGTCAGACGGGAGATTTTGGATCGGCATGGGTACCACGTGGTGCCCGGCGGAGAGGAGCGTGATTGGGCCAGCGTCCGAGCAAGACCGTTGTTGCAGATTACAACATCCAGAAGGAGTCCACTCTCCACCTGGTCTTGCGCCGAAGGGGCGAGGCGGCTGGAGAGCAAAAGCCCGGCAAGGACTGTTTCGAGTCCTTAGACCACCAAAGGCTTGGCAGAACACGTTCTGTACCACGTGCAAGACAAGGCTCGCTTGCCTTTCATGGCAAGGGTTCTAGTGCTTGTAGTGCGTGTAGAGCGGCCGTGCAGGTGACCATCCACTCCAACGAGACGGCCATCGTCCCCATCTTTCAGCACAGCATCAAAGGTGACCGGGTCCTTGTCTATGACCCCAAGGAATCTGAGGTCTGCGTGAAGCGCGCGGTGCACGTGGTGAACACCTCGGCCCATGTTCTCGCGAACGGTAGCGTCAACGTTTGGACGGTGGCCGCTTCGTCGCCCAGTGCCAGTTTGCCCCGATGATTCCGGGTGACGACCAACTGTTTGAGCTCGGGGAGGATGGTACAGGGACACCGTTGGGTCGCGAACGTGTCGGTAGTAGGCAAAGCGGTCTCGTCGCTAAGTCTTTCATAATTCGCCTGGCACCGTGAAGGACACGACCCTCTCCGTGACGCGCCTGAAGCCCGCGGAAATGCAGGACGACCGTGTGGTGCGGACACGAGTCGAACAAGACGAGCACGGACAGCTCAGCAAGGTTGTCCTAGATCATCGCAACCGTGTGACCACTGTGTACAGCATCAAGAACAACGGGAGTCGGAGCGCCCCCTGCCATTACATCGAGCACACAGCTCGCACGGACTGCGGAGGCTTCTCGATAACTTCTACAGAGCATCGTGTGAAGCAGACGACGGGCTGGGCACGCTTCTGCCTCTCCGTGAATCCCGAGGCAGAGCTTTTAATCTTGGAGGCACAACTTGGACGAAGAGTGCGGAGACTCAGACCGCGTATTTGATTGGTTTCCTTGCAAGGTAGCCGAGGAGGCCAACTACGAAGAGAGACTTCCCGTGACGGCACCGAGCATTTCCAAGCTGCTCGGTGGTACAAGTCGCTTCTATTCTAGCATCCGGTAGCATGAGGAACACTCCTTGCTGAGGTTCCTGACGACGCGTGCCCGGCGTCTCCAGGACGACGGGGTCCTCAGTGGCGAGTGCTTCAGGGCTCTGAAGCGGAGCCTGGGACAACTCCGCCTCGCCTCAATGCTTCAGGCACTTCGTCGAAGTTTACCAGCTTACCACGTGCTAAGTGCACGTACTTGTAGCATAGGTGCTTCTGATGCTTGTGTTTGAGACACTCACGATGTCACTGGCAGTCGCATGCATTATGGCTCTGCAATCTGGGAATCACCGAATATCATCGCCACGTCAGCAGTTTGCCATCATCACTTTTGTTTCTTTTCCATCGCCATCAGCTCTTTTGGCTGCTTGAGGCCCTGGTCCAGCCACGGCAAGTCTCCGAGAAGCAGCTCCTAGGCTGGGAGCAGCGGGACGTCCCCTGGGCTCTGGACTAACCTTGGGCCGAGACGCATTTTTTCAGTGCCTTTTTCTGAGAATTGCGCTCAAGGAGCCCTGTGAGGACCCGGATGGCTTTGCCACGGAGGTGAGGGAGATCTTGAGCCTTGGCCTGCGCTGCGTCTTTTTCAGGTCTCTGTGTCTTTGGTGTCGTCCCGGGAAGCTGTTACCAGGCTAGCACGATGAGTTTTTTCTGGGTTGTGCGGCTTGGCAGCTCAGGGCCCAGACACGCGAGCTCCTGCGCCAGGATGCAGAGATCTGGGAGATCCAGCGCAGGCAGACCTTGGACAGCACTCGCGTCAACAAGATCTTCGATAGCCAGACGCGCCCACGCGAGAACATCAAGTCAATGGAGCATGTTCGAACAGGCTCCCTTCTTGCGCGGTACATGAGTGACATGGACAAGGAAGAGAACGATTTGATTGCAACTCGCAAGAGGATGGAGGAGTCGGAGGAAACAGTGGCGAAGATGACGCATGAAGCCTCTCGGCTTATGCTGCAAATCATCATGAAGACCAAGCAGCTGCAAAAGAAGGCTACGTGTCGACGACAAGAGTTACGTGCCGCCGCTCTCTGACTTTAAGCTGTCTTACAGTCTTACAGTAGCCTTAGCTACTACTGTGTCTCATTGAATTGATGTTGGTCGAGACGGCCAACTCTGCCCCAGCAGCGTGTCTTCGCTGGCTTGTACAGGGCGGGCACCGGGATCGAACACAAAAAGATGCTGCGCTCTCGCGTGGGATGCCTGCGATGCCCTTGTCTTGTGGTTGTCCCTTCATTCATTCCGTGTGTGGCAGATCCTTTGGCTCAAATGGCTTGCAAGACCAGGCGCTGAGAGTGGAATGTTTGAGTAAAGAAGTCTGCACTTAGAGTGCGCTAATTGATCGCTGCAAGTTGCAATAGCCTAGGAAACTCTTGTTTGTTTCCTGTGGCTTCGCTTGCTCAAGAGGTTGCGCATTGTGTCTGCTGCAGGCGCTGAAGCGCTATGTAGAAGGTGCAGGAGCACCGTGAATTCGAGTCACGTGTGAAGAAGCTTCGGGACACGGTGAAGAAGAACAGCGTGGACTACGACAAGTCCGAGGAACTGCTAGAAAAAGCTTAAAAGTAAGTATTTGTGTGAGCACATGCGCACCTGCGACTGGGCGGCATGCGCTTGTCGCAGGACCACCTGAAAGCCTTGCAGAGCGTTGGGCAGATCATCGGCGAGGTGGTTATTACAGACTCGGTGCGATGCCGGTGCTCAGTTCTTCCCTGGAAAGGTCTTGCGACAGCTGGACGCCCTCGACGCGACGTAGCCGCGTCTCCCTGGACATGACCACTCTGACGATCATGCGCTTGCTTCCGAGAGAAGTCGACCCGATAGTCTTCAGCATGCTGCATGAGGCTAGCTTTCAACTGCGGCTGTGTTGGAGTGCTCTTGCGCATCTTGCGCGAAGCGCACTTCTGCAGAGGACCCTGGGAAAATCTCCTACAGCGATGTCGGTGGCCCCACTGAGCAGATTAGGCAACGCTCGAAGTCTGCACGAAGAAGGGGCTTTTTGTGCCTCTCGGGCTTTGTTGCAGGCAGATGCGAGAGGCCACCTAGCGGAATTGCATCTTCATACCTCTGAAGCACCAGATGCCCGCTCTGCGCAGTCTCATGCCATTGTACCAGTGACAATGATGATGGCGGTGGTGATGAGGACTCTGATGATGTTGATGATGGTGAGGACGACCATGGCAAAGTTTGTAGCATTGTAGCACTGACGACGGCGATCCTGGCGGAATTGACTAGGATAACTAGGAGCAACAGTATCAGCTGTCATAGTAACAGACGCGCATGCACACACGCATATATTCAGGCATCCATCCAGACGTCTATGTACGAAGGAGCTGCTGCCCACGCATATGGATCCATACGACAAGCAGTCTACAGTTTGACAGCATGTTGCAAAGTGAGGACGAAATAGTTACAGTCCTGCGGAGACTAGGTCATCGAGCTGCCGTTGACGAACCCGGAGCTCTTCAAGCGTGTGTCCAGCCTGCACTTTTCCCCACCACAGCCTCGTGCAAGGAACTTGCTGGCATGTCGCTCTTTAGAGGTGGGCATCAAGTCTCCGAAGGGCTGCTCTATGGCCCGCCCGGAACCGGAAAGACGCTTCTGGCACGGGCCATGGCGCACAACATGACGGCCAGTTTCATCAAGGCCAGCCTTTGTCAGTGGTTCCCATCCTTCCCAAGCAGGTCGAAAGTAGAAACTCTGCATCAGGTTGTAGCATCTGCAATCGTGGACAAGTACATCGGAGAGTCTGCCCGAATCATCCGTGAGATGTTTGGCTATGCAAAAGAGCATCAGCCCTGTATCATTATCATGGATGAGTCCCCTGACAGCACGCAGACTACGCAGTGAAGGCTGCCTTTTCGAATCTTTACTTCTTTACACCCTGAGGATTGATGCCATCGGCGGGAAGCGTTTCTCTCAAGGCACGTCGGCTGACAGAGAGATCCAGCGGACTTTGATGGTGCCGGCCCCAGATGGATGACAACTGAGGCGAGCTGCCCTTCTTTTTCAGCTGCTGCCGCTTGGGTTTCGGTGCTGAGGAGTTGCTGAATCATGGTCTGGACGATTTGGGCCGCGTGAAGATCATCATGGCCTGAGCCTTTGAAGGATCGCCGGCTACAGATCTTCGGATGTGCAAGGATCTCCGAACTGGAAGCACTCGGCTGCTCCTGCCGAACTGCCCTGGGTGAAGTCATGCTGAGGCCACAAATCGGCCTGATACCTTGGACCCTGCGCTGCTTCGGCCAGGGCGCTTGGACCGAAAGGACTGGTCAGCTAACAGGAAGGGCCCAGTACTTCTTCACCAGCCGTACTTCTCCGTTCCGAAGCATGAAGTAGCATGTGGTTTGGCGCTCTTGTGCCAGATCGAGATTCCGCTGCCGAACGAGCAAACCAGGATCGAGGCGCGAGGTCCAGGAGTCATCTCTGCACAGCTCGGGTTGCGGGATCGCCAGGTGCTCAAGATCCACGCCCACCCCATCACAAAGCACGGGGATATCGACCACGAAGCCATTTGCAAACTGACGGACAACTTCAACAACGCGGACATGCGCAACATTTGCACTGAGGCTGGCTGCCTGGCGGACGTGAGCAGGGGGCCTTGGGTCTTGCGAGCGCCCAGTTCAGGCCGGAATGTTTGCGATCCGCGCCGAGAGGGACTATGTCGTCGAGGAAGATTTCATGAAGGCATCAAGAAACCTCGATTGGAGTCTGTAAATCACTGTCAAATATATACATATATATATATATATAATTATATAATGTTATATAGTGGATCAGTTTGGAGATTGCAGTTCCGGGCCAGGCCGCAAGAAAAATTGACCGATCCTCAGGGGGCGAAGCTGCCGGGAACTCCTGTGTCACGGGCCTTGAGCCTACGTGTCGCCCGCACGAGGCAGACAACAAGAAGGAGTAGCTGCGCCACTAGACTGGACTCTGAACAGGCAGTCGGCAGTCGGTGCCGGTATCGCCAATAAATGGCATGTAAGCAGAGCGCATCGGACATAGCTTCCTGAAGACGTGCGCGAGCGGACAAAACGCTCCGGTGGTTCGGTGGACCGCAGCCCGTTTGACGAAGTTCAGATCATGTGTGCTTGGCGGCCGGTCTACTACGAGATCGATTGTTTGCCAGCATGATGGATTTATGCTTAGCTCATGCGGAATCGCATGGGGCAAGAGGCACGGCAGATGTGCAGAATTGAAGCTCGGCTTCGAGAGACTGCAAGTTGACCCCATGATGAAAACGACATGACATCCTAAGGGCCTGGCGACCCTTGACTACTTTTTGTGGCAGTGCTTTGGCGCCATGAGATTGGGATTAGTTCGGCTGCTGTGCCGCGGGCTAACTGAAAGTGGCTGTTGTACACTTGCCGTGACACCATGAGGCACCACTGAGGTGTGCTGGTGAACACGAGGTTGTGGTCGAATGAAGGCACACAGCGCTGTTGAGATTCTGACAGTTTACAGGAAAGGTCGGGTGTTCCAGACGTCGTCGGGCTTGTTGGGCTTTGTGTGCCAGTTACCTTGGCAACTCGAACGTCGAACCCCCAATCTATGATGCACCCCCATATTCCGTAGGGTCTGTGCCGAAAGTGTTCCAGGTCAATGCAGCAGGTTAGCACAACCCTCCATAGTGAAGTTCCAACAGGATAGGTAAGTCTGGCATTTCTCCGGGGTTGAAGGCCCAGTACTTGGAAAATAGAATAGACGCCCCTGCCATCCGCTAGCTTGCAGGATGCAAACCGTGGGTACATCCCGCACCCACTCTCTCATGCTCCAGGATTAGCTTGGGTTAAGACAGTGTAGGCCTGAGATGATTGGCAGATTCTAAAAACGCTGCTTGCGCACGGCTTCATCAAAGGGAAGAAGCAATGCATTGGAGTTTGGGGCTTCAGGGCATCGCGACTACGCACGTGATGCCGGTCGTTTGCGGTCCGTACTTTGCAGCTTCCGGGCAATGACGAAAGCATGGTTCGGTCCAGAAATCGAGTTCAGGATTCCAGCATGACAGCCAGCTACTCATAAAAGCCTGTCAGCTTTCAGGACTCCGCTCTGGAATCAGCTGAGTGCCGAACTGACAGCGTGCACAATACCAGGACCCAAAGGCACGGACCACTGGATGGAGCTGCATTCAGCTAGGCTATTGTCGAGCCATAAATCAGAATCGACCTGAAACTTCTGACCTCGGATGGCCGTTTGCCGCGGCTGTTGCTCCAAAGCCAGCAACCACAGAAGCAACAGCAGCGGTGGTGCCACTGGCCGTTTTATAGTTGTCGTCAGTCGTCAGCCCCCAGCACCGCTTCAGTGCAATTGCACACTCAGCCGATTGCCGATTATGGTGGTTGTTAGCACAATCCGAGTACCTTGATGTTGATTTCCACATGCAGTGAGGTCGCCCCCCCCCCCATTCGGACCACATCTGATGTATCCTCTATTTTTGCCGTCTTTCGAACCCTGGCTCGTCACGTTCAGAAGTGCAGAAACCCTTCTTCCTTACACGGCCTGAGATCTGAACTGCAAGATTCCGACTCATGCTGCCTAGTGAAACTTCTAGCATTTCCAGCGTGTGGATGTGAATGGACATGTCAGGATGTGACAGTAGTAATTCCACGTGAGAGATGTGCGAATTCCTGCCTCAATGCTTCCTGAAAGGCGGAGCGCACCTTGCAAGCGCCGCGGCCTGCCGTCTACAGGAACTTTATGCAATTCTCCGAACAAGTCGAGGGTGTATGTTGGAGGTTCACGCATGCTCTTGACTAAGTCTTGTCGCACATGCTCCAACGGGTCAGAAGTCACTTCACGGAGAATCTCTTGCCTCCACACCAAATGCTCCTTCGCCCTTATGTTTTGGATCTATTGCTCCTTCGCCCTGATGTTGTGGATCTGATGCTGCTTCACGTTGTGAACTGCGCAAGAGCTGCAGGGCAGAAGCAGTAGTTGGAATGAACTGTTCCCTCCATTTGCATAAAGCTTCTCTTCCTATGGGTCCTGCTAGGGTGGGCATGGAGGGCCGTGGCACTAAAGGGTGCTGTGGACAGCTGCTCGGATGAAGTTATTTAGTGCTTGAGTGCAGGTGAGGGGCGGGTTGAGATTGCAATCTAAGCTTACATTCTGCGTAATGCAATCTTCCCATGTAAGGAAGCGTGTTGTCTCAAAGGTTGTCTCCAGTGACTGTACCAGCTGCGACTGCATCCCCTTGTCCGGCTGCTTTCCCATATGAGGGTGAAGTATTTGCTCAGTGCTCTCCATGTCTGGAGGCCAGAAGAGAAGTCAGACAGTAGGTTCAGTAGATAGCCCAACACCTTCCCAAAACTCATTCTTGCACTAAGTTACAGTACTGTGGGGTGAGATCAATCAAAGAAGGCCCAGTGAGATCAGGAATGCGCTGCAGTTGACGTAGTTTCAGCATCTTTCGCAGACTCCGTACTGCCTGGGTCGCCACTTTTCGCTTGGTGTGTTACTTGTGTCCTTTGTGGGGGGAGGGGCTGCAGCCCCGCATGATACATCTCGTATTTGTGTTTAGACACATGTCACGTTTTGCAGTTCATGGCCTCCGTACTGAGGACAGCTGCGTGGGCTAATTGAAGCCTTTTGGGTCGGGTCTGCTGAATCTGGAAGTGCCTTCGCAGGTACCCCAATTTGCTGGACAGAGAGCGGCTGGTGCATTTGTGGGAGATACTCGATGATGCTGGGGTAATTGTGGCTTGGAACTTCAACCCTCGTGCTTGCCCTTGGCCGGCTCCAGGCTGACGTGGTTGTACTCCACCTCCAAGTTTGGAAGCATGCTCTGTAATGAAGCTAAGGCTTCGACGGGCCTTTCAAAGGCATCTGTCGTCGTTGCAACAGACGGGACTTCATGTGCTTTGCAAGAGCCGATGTTTGTAGGTTGTTTTTCCACTGTAGTCAATGAGATTGCAGGGCCCGTTCCATCCCATTGTAAATGATGGCATGGTCACCTGTGCGTCCGCATCGGAGGAGCCCGGAGCCTTTGGTTCCAGTTTCAACTTCCTGCTGCAGCATTGGATGCTCCTATTTGGCTTGAGGACACCAGGCGTTTACATGTCATAGGGTGTCATGAAAGACCTACTGTATCACACTTGCGTACAAATCTTGTTGTGACTGTGACTTTCCGTTTGTGTCTGAATGAGAGACTGCTCGCAGGTCCCTACGATTCGACCAAGAGCACAATTGCCATGTTGCGCGTCACAGCATTAGATCAGCCAAGTCGATCTGGTGAAATCCGGACTGGCTTGGCAAACGTTGCAGGTTTTGGCTTCCGGCTATCCTGGCCCTGGGCAAGTGTGGCCGAGCTTGCTCTATGCCAGAGCATCCAAGTTCTGCAACTAGCTGCAGCGAGCGAGTTTGTGCGCATGGACAGGCTGTTAGATTCAGGAAGCCAGTATCTTGGTGACCTAGGTTGTGGTGCCAACAACCCAAGTACAGCTGTTGTCATGTCAGCCATGTTTGCACCATCCCAAGCCATATTGAGAAGTTTAGACTTGGAAAACGAAAGTCTCGGGTATTGTGAAAAGCTTTCAGCACCAGGAAGTCTACCTTTGACTCACTCATTGATGAAGTCCTCGGGCACGTCCAGCTCGGTGCACCTGGTTAGTCAAGCAAAGGCTTCGTTATGCGATTCGTTATGTAACGCACATCCCTCGCTAGTGAAGTGAAGGCTGTGGAATGTCTATCCTTGTTCTTAGGCAAGCAAAAGCTTTGCGCATCTATCTCCCTCTTTGGTCAAGAAAAGGGTTTGGAATATCTACCACCAAAGCGAGACGAAGGCTTTGGAAGGTCTATCCCCTCTTTGGTTATGCGAAGGCTTTGGAAGTCTTGTCTTTTTGGTGAAGCAGAGACTGGGGTCTGGCTGACCATCCCCGTTTTCTGCAAGCATCTGCAAACTTGCATCATCTCTAGCAAGAACTGACAGCAAAATAAGATCACTTGCCAATGACTGCTCAAGCTGCACCGCGCGAGTGAGAGTGGGATCTATGCAGGGCCGCGCTAGTGCGGGGGCTTCTTCACAGCACTGCCTGCGACTCGAAAGCTTTAGCTGTAGTACGCCCTTCTACAGTGTGTGGCAAAGTCTCAGCGTTTTCCATAACAGCATAGCAGATCCGTTGGGCCTTACTGCCAGAGTAGTAATGTGGAATGCACAGCACGAGCCTAGGCACAATTCAAAGCGTCATGAGTTGGCGAAGTTGCACGACAATCGGCCACTTCTTCCAGCAGGTTTCTGCGCGGGTGCTTACTCACAGGAACTATCGGAACTCATATTCATCCAGGCCTCGTGTTTGGTTCAACACCATTTGCCAGTGATTGTAAGCGTAAGTAAATACAACAGCCTTCTGTCCAACGAAAGGCCCCTCGCGCAGAACAGCGAACACTCAGCACTCCAATGTCAAAGGTTCGACTGGAACGACCCGGGCTTGGCTACAGCATGGAGAAACAAGCCAAAGCCTACCATCAAGTGCCCATCTGTTGCCATCTGGATGGTCATTGCCGCTGGCTGTCTCAACATTCGTGCCCTCCCCCCCGTCTCAACACCTACAACCTGATCAGGCGGATCGCCCTGCATAGATAGTGCGTTTCAGGGCACGATCATTTTACGAGGTTCCCTTCTGGACACATGCATTGTTTGTTCTTGCAGCGGTTGACAAGAGCGAGGTCACGCTGCTAAGAGATACAGCGTCATGGATCCTAACTAGCATCAACCC